CTGCAGCAAAGACCAAGACCCTCCTGGTCTTGGTGTACCTTGTGCCCTTGGAGACACCAAGGGCCAGGTATCACTCCCTTCTCCCCTCTCCCTCTACTAACCTAATCTCCCTGCCTCTCCTCTCTCCTCTTATTCACCCCTTCTCTTTCCCCCACCTTCTACTGCATCTTTTCTCTCCTCCTTTTATCTTCCCCACCCCACCTTTCTCCCACCACCCATTCTTTTACTCTATTTTCTTCATCTCTCATTTTCTTCCCTTCTTTTCTCCTTCCTTTTTGATCTCTCTCCACCTTTCCCCAACCCTCCTCTCCCCCAACTACCACCACCTCATCCCCCCACCTCCCACTTCATCTTTTTTTCTCTCCCACCTATTTCCTTCTCTTCTCCTTCACTTTTTCATTCCCATTCCCCCCCACTTCGAATTTTTCTGTTTTTCTTTTTCTATCTTCCTTTTGATTTATCTTTTCTCTCTTTCCAAAAAATTCAAAATATCTTCTTTCCCACCTTCTTTTCTTATTTTCTGATTTATTTTATTTATTTTTATTTATTCTGAAAATTCTTGGCGGCAACCCTAAATCTGATTAGGTGAGCCTTTCTTGCTTTCGGCACACGTTTTGACCCCGTGGGGGTAACAAAGTGCTGCTGACATTTTTTGATTTTCTCTTACTTAGTCTTTTCGGCACACTTCGACCCCATGGGGGTAACGAAATGCTGCCAAAATTTTTCAAAAATCAGATAACCTATTTCTCCCCACCTCCTCACACACTTATTTACTTATTTATTATTTATTTATTTATTTTCTAAATTTTATTTTTTTATTTATTTGCGGCATCTCTAGTGTGCTCACCTTGGCCTCTCCTTTTCCCTTGGCACATTCTTGACCCCGTGGGGGGTAGGGAAATGCTGCCGAAAATTTCAAAAAAATAAATATTGTTTCCCTTCACATCTTTTACTTATTTCTTTAATTATTTTTATTATTTATTTATTTCCTTATTTATTTTTATTTTCTCTCGAAATCTCGTTGTTTATTTATTTTCCTCCTGCCTTCCTCCCTATGCTTGCTATTTTACTTTCTTGATTAGGTCACCGGTACCCTACCCTAACCACTTAAACTTCGGTTAGGGTTTTCTTAGGGTTTTTGTAGGGTTTAGGGTTCTTCAAAAAAACCCTACTTCCCCGTCCTCTTCGGGCACCCTGGACCCGAACCACCCTTCTCCCTTCGACGGCGCCTGTGCTAGCCTTGCTAGCGCCGTTCGCCGCTTCCTACCGCGGACTTCCCCCTACGCCCTCCGCTCACGCGGATCTCTTCTGCCCCCCCCCAGTCCGGTCCGTCATCTCCCCATGGCCGACGGTGTGTCACACGCCGCCGACACGGCGATGACCACGGCATCGGGCTTCACACCCGTGCCGGCGGACCAGGGCCATCAGCCCTAGGGGGATCTGCACACCCTCCTCACCTCCCTCCTTGCGCCCATCCAGGCGCAACTCGCGACCCTCGCGCCCATCCAGGCGCAACTCGCGACCCTCGCGCCCCTCCAGGCGCAACTCGCGACCCTCGCGCCCATCCAGGCGCAACTCGCGACCCTCGGGCCCTTACAGGCGCAGGTGGCGACCCTTGCCGCCGGCGTGCAGCAACTCCAGGACGCTGGTCGTCCTTCCTCTCCTCATCCTTTCTCTTCTCCTGGCTCTCAGTCCGGGTCCCCAGTTCTCCGACAGGGTGGCCACGACGGAGTTTCCTCCTCTGCTCCCCCCGACGCGGCCATTTTGGTGACAGTCCACGCCCCTAGCTCGACGGCTGCCACGAGTCAGGCCCTTCCTCAGTCTACGGGCGCACCGGCCCAGATTCCGGTTACGACGGCCACGGGACCACAACCCGTTACCATGGTCTCAGCGTTTCCGGGTGCCCCGCTCCTCCCCCTCCTTCGCACAACCGCAGCGCCACCTGACTCTCCCCCCTCTGGGATGCCCCGCGCCGCTTGTGCATCCACTTCCTCCACTCTTCCCCCTGCTACCCCTCGCACGACCTACGTTCGAGGTCTCGAGGACGAGATTGCCCAGCTCCGGGCCAACCTCGCCCTCTTGCGCCTTCAGCCACCCCCACCCTCCTAGGTGGTCGTGCCTCTTTCTCTCTTCTTCCTTCCATCTGAGCAAACCAATGCAGACGCTTGCGTTCGCTTCACTTAGGCTGTTGGCTGTGACATTGCTGTTTTGTGACATTTTATATCCTAGGTTGCATCGCATGGACTCAGCATGGAGCTTGCTCCGCATCCTAGACTACTCAGGTTTTTTTTTCTTTGGTAGAGTTCCGCTTCT